AAATATATGTGTATAGTTTCTAAGTTGAAAAACTATTAAGAATACTCAATGCAAAAAAATAAAAATCATTTTTATTTATTTTGATTTAAATGTAAAGATTTGTTTTTTGAAACTGTAAGGTTTTTGTATAGTTTTAAAATTATAGCTCAAACCGGAATGGGTTTTATGAGAAAAACAGAAACGAATTATTTGTAGTTGCTATAATGTTGAATTTATTAAATTCAATAACTTAACTTGAATAGAAGATTTTAATATATCAAGGTTTACAAAATTTATATAATATTAAAGAACCCTAAGCATTTATAGTAGTAAAATAAATATACGCTAGTTTATTTTAACGATTAATGCCATTAATGCCAAATACGAAAATAATTTAAAACTGAAAAGTTTGTGTTCATTTTTGTTCTTCTTTCTACTTTCAGAGAGCGGTGAACAAGAAGTTTTTCCGTTTTTTCATGATCAGTTAACACATATAACATGTTTAATATATTTAATATATAATAAACGAGACTACTATATGAATAAACTGACTATCGGAGCAAGTAGCGCAACAAAACCAAATGTATTAAGCGGATTTGAAAATACCGATGAGCGAAACCGGAATAACAGCTATATTGGTTTTCCAATTGGAGAAATTCCAATCACAACAGAAGTGGATGCTGATTGTAAATCCGACCAACTATAATAAAACATTCCATGTAGAAACTAGCTTTACCTGTAGAACATCTAATCAAAAATTGCTGACTTAGGGTGAGATGTCAAAGTGTTGAAAAATTAGTAGAATTGTATTCATTCCTGAAAATTCTTCTGATGTGAGCGATATGAATAATTTCAGATCAATTATTATCTTGACCAAACATCAATACGGGTTCAGAAAATATTCAAGCAGCAAGCGGCGCTATTTAAATATCGTAGTATCACACATATGGTATCGAAAAAAATTAAAAAAATTGTCGTTGTATTCTTTCTTCAGAAATGTTCTACTTAAAAAACTATTTTAATTTGGAGTTAGAGGCGATGAATATAAATGGTTTGCAAGCTACTTTAAAGATAGATTGCTATTCGTTGTATTCCATATGAAATTCATTTATGTTTGCGGATTACTTGGCAATTATTCACAGCAAAAAATTCAAGCACTGAGTAATGAAATGAGAAATAGAAAAGGGGGGTGAATTTACAAAAGCTCACCATCAACACAAACAAGTTTTCATACGTGTTCTTCAATAAAAATATTTCGTACAGTAATAATAAATTAGACAGGTTGGTGCAATACAAATATACGAAGTTATTTGGAGTTATAATAGACGAAAATCTTACATGGGAACCGTATGTAATAATAACTTAATAAGTTAAGTATATAATATGTTCAACACTAAAACCACTTCAAAAGTTACTATGGTCTTCATCAGTAGCTATCAACACCAACAAAAAAAAGATTTAATGGACACGATTCAATTCATAGCCTAGTTATCTAGGTTATATCAAATAAAATAAATGACCATTACATATAAAAAAGCTTTGTTGATTTAAATAAATTTAGTAAATACTTGAATAAATTTTACATGTTAGCATAGAGTACTAGTTATCAATAATTTAAATTCTTAATGGACCAGTATAAAATGATCGCAGTCAGAGTTCTCAAAAGCCGTACAATTGGTATATCTTAAACTTATAGAAGAAGAAACAAATTTTGGAAAGGTTTCCTTAAAATAAGAAAATTTATTATTTCAAATATGTATGAAAATACAATAACTTTCAAGCACACAGATCTTAGCAGAGGTGAGTCACAGAATATCAAGTAGAATGTAAGAAAATTTGAATATCAACACAATGGCGCCTTCACTGAACGAATTTTATGTGCACGAAATTCAACCCTTGTTTCTGGTTTATTTCTATCTTCACTTCAAAGGTGACTCCATTAAATTTCACTATCATTCATCCCTCATTTCAGTATAAGAATCAACTGTAGCACAAATGAAAATATATGTAAATTTTTGTGTATTTTTAAAGAGTACCTATTCAAATAAATATTTGAATGTAAACCTTTGTGTACCTACATGAAAACAAATACATAAATCAAATTGTAAATAAGGGAAAAATAAAATCCTTGTTTGTTTGTTATCGCCCGGATTTTTGTAACTTAAAAACAAAATAAATATTTTTTTTTTTCAATTTTTCACCAAATCATTTTGTAGCCTTGAAAATATTTTTGTATTTTTGTTCATTTTAACTTCAATAATTCAAATATTTCGAAGTTTTTACAAAGAAAAAATATTGTACTTTTTTGTTTCATAATTTTAAGCACAAACACATTCTTTATACACTTGTAATTTTAAGTAAAACACTTTTATACACTTATGTATGTAATTTTATGAACATAAACTTGTAAATTTCAAAATTTACTATATATATATATATATATATATTTTGTATATAGCATATAATAAGAGTAATTTTAACTGATTTTGTATGATAAAATATAAGAGATCCTTTTTCTAATACAATATATAACAACTGAATTTGAAACTATATAAAATCCTTCCAATTAAAATATAATAACAATAATAATAATAATCATAAATTATTATTTACAGATGCCTTGCTAATGATAGCTTTATAATTATTATTAGAAACACCCAAACTATGTACTCAATATAAATATAAATTTATGTATACATAGTTTAATCTACGGAATTTAATGTAGAACAATACACTTTGTATATGCAAGAAATATAATATGAATCTATACAGGGAACATAGCACAATATACAAACATTGTAAAAATCTAGAATATGTTTTTGATATTAAAATAATTGTTAAAATTATATACCGGGTGGCCAAATATTTGATTAATGTAAAAATATATAATATCAATTAAATAAACCTTTATATTTGCAAATACTAAAGTAAAATATTGCTTCAAAAAATAGGAAGTTAAATGCATCCTTCCGGTATATATTTTTGAAATATGGAAGGCTTTTGTCCGGAAGGAAAATATATTTTCCAATTTTTTTTACAAAAATATTTTGTTCTAAAAATTTCTCAGTAATATGTACAAGAATTGTATTTTTTTTTTAATTTTTAATATTTTTTTTTTAATGTTAATTTAGTGATAAGAATGAAAAATAATTTGTAATTCTAAGCAATGTTAAATAACATTAATAATATAGCCAATCGAGAAACTTCCAATTTAAGTAGTAGATAATTCTAAAGTCAAGCCATATGAGCTACCTTAAATTTAGGCTAAAATTCTCTTAAAGAATTATTATTCTAGGACTTTAAGTTGTTGAACTACACAAATTTCATTTAAATTATTCAAAATTTTCATTATGAAACATCTTGTTTAATATACATCTTCTCAGTTCATTGTAATAAAATTTAATAAGCAAAAATTGTTATATATAAATTTACCATTTATTACAATACGAGTATAAAGCCGATAAACGATAACTTTTCTTGTACAATAAGAATAATAATATGCCTAATATTAGTCAATATAGAAATAAATACAAATTAGTTAAAAAATAACAATAAATTAAATACTCAAACTCTTTTCCATATACAGAAGTATATTGTATAATATTTTATATATGTGTATAATTGGTTTGTTGTGTTCGAATATACTTTTCCAGTTCCTTACAAAACAAATTTCCATAATATTTTATGGTGAAATACCTATTCATGTAAAATTACGTTAAAATTTTGAATACATTTTTGCACTCAATAACAATATTTCTAATATTCTTAGAATAAATTTTTGTATTTGAACTTAATTTTGAAGTGTTCCCTATATTGCATTTGGTACGCTATTTCTATCTTAGTATGTATATTATAAGCACATGTTATTTAAATATTTTATAATATTATAAATTAATTAATTACAAATCAATGATTGCAAATTTACACAATATTTAAGCGCCGTATAATATCGGCTATATTTCGCTCAAAAATTAATTTTCCCCAAATATATGCAAGACTATTTTACTACTGCTTGCACCGCAAATTATTAGGTAGTTTACGTTAGATCATAAAACAGTGTGCTCAAGAGATACTTTTCTTCACAAGTCTAAGACATTCAAAGCATATACGATAGAAGTGTTTTAAACAGATGAATTACTAAACGAATCAAGGAAACGGGATAAGCATCTTCTTTCAAAAATTTTTAGAAAATTTGCTGCAAGCAATTTAAAATTTTTAATAAATGCATAAATTTTCTAATATAAATGGATGAAATATATAGAGTTATTAAGTTTTTCAAATTTCCGTAATATTTACACTTCCGGTTGTTACATATATTTGAGTAGTATACGAATACGACACTTCCAAAATAAAGACTCAGTCCAAATAAAAATTGCCTTCAAAAACAGTAGAAAACGAGAAAAATACCGAACACATTCAATTTGTTTGTTATTCACTTATTTTTTATAAGCTAATTTAAGCTTATATAATTAAAAACTTATGAAACAATTCGGAACTTACGAAACAAAAAAATAACAATTTATTAGATAAAAACACACATAAAGTGAATGAGGGACATAAGAAACTTAATGGTTCCTTTTTTTGTGTTTGAGTAAAAATGGGGGAGAAAAAGAATTGAACACCTAAAAATAAAATGAAAAATATAGAAACAATTTTATTTTTCTTTGGACTTTCAATTTTCTTTTCTTTATTTTTTTTTAAAAGCAATCATGACAAATAAATACTCTAGGATTTCTGGTTGTTTTTTCTTCTTCTCTTTTTTGCCTTTTTGTCCTGAAAACAATGAAATTTTGTTTTGTTGAATTGTGTACTTCGAATACAATGTTTAAAAAGAAGAAAATTTTGTATGTAAATATGTATATAAGGATATATACATTATATACATATAGCACACCGCTACAACTAAAATATTGTAACTCAAAAATTGTATTTTTCTGATTTCAGTGTGAAAATATATTAGCTGATTTCGTATATCAGATTTTTCTCGTGTGACCCTGAATCTATAGATCAGGGATTCTCACCTGGTTCCTATCCATTTTCATTATTTTCCTATATCGCTTCTGGTAATAATATCCCTGAAATTCCTTAAATTGCCTAAGCCCAGGATGGACTCTCTATAGCTCCGACCTTGAATTTTCTTCATCCATCATGAATTCCTCGCAAATATTTCATAACTACAAATTAAAGTATGCAATCAATTACTTCTCATTAAAGCAAATGTTTTTTGAGTTAACAACATTTTAGTAACTACAATTATACGTTTTCATATTTATATAAGTAAAACAAAATTCCTTCTCTGATGGTTCTTCTTGAGTACAACCATATACATATACATATACGAGTGTATATGCAAAATATATGTTTTTACCAGCATTATAAGTGGGTATACCTTGATATATATCTCAAGAAGATTGGCTTTTAAAATAATAAGTTATTATTCAATAAAGCAGAAAGAAAAAAAAAAGGTTACTGTATCAATGATTATAAATAGAAAATATAAGATATTTTTGAGGGTAACGTCAATATTTTCATATATTCATATTCAATATAATCTAATATTTACAAATAGTATGTATGTACATGCATATACGTTGGGTCATTTTGTGTGTTTGTTTGTTAAATGTATGCATGGTATAAATTATAATGGACCAGTTGAATTTATTATACAAATTGTGATCTTTGACAAAAAAAATTTTGAAAATTTATAATAGAAATATAGAGTCAATGTAATGTTTGTATATGGATGTATGTATGTTTGTAGATAAAATGGAATAAAATAATAATAAAAACTAAATTATAATGATGGTTATTATAATAAATTTTCTCGTTACCTTTTCAAATACATACATACATATATAATATGTTAGGAGCTAGAAAATGTACGATATTAAAAATAATTTATTATTAATTATACAGGTCGATTAACCTATTATATAAAATTGGAAAGATATAATAATAAATAAATATAAATTTTAATAAATTGTACACAATAATTTTAAACTGACACTGGTTCTTTATTTAGTTCAATTAAGTTATAAAATAATAAATTATGACTACATTTGATTGATAATTAAAGTTAAGAAGATATGGAATATAAGGATTCCTTTATGCCATTATTTTTAGCCAGATTTTGATCTATTGTTAGTTGTACACTCATTTATATTCAATTTAGTTGAACTGATTTTAATTACGGCTCATATTTTATGCTGCCTATAAGATAAGAACGTAAAATGATTATGAATGATAAAATTTTTATTATTAAACACATTTTGGAATTTTTTTAATCTTAGATTTTACTCAACGTATTTTTTGGTTGTGTCTAATAAAACGATCTAAAACAGAGATCTATTGAATTTCGGTATCTGTTTAAATGTCTAAGAGGCTGATCGGTTCATGGTTTTGTTTTTCTTAGCGTAAACTACATATTTTTTTGGTTTTGTGATCACTTATAATACAAGTTCTTAATATAATTAAAAATTTAGTTAATTTTAAGCAACTTCCGAGAGACAGCTCATTCGGCTAAAATTCTGGCGAATTCGCTAATCATAATACCGAAAATTCATATTCCACAAAAATTTCATTCCGCTCGCCGATCAGCCTAAATTGTTAAATAATTATTATAATAGTATTTAATTTTTATTGAAATCCAAAAAATAAGTTTTATCGGAGAAATTGCCATGTATGTGAACTATGGCAGGGAATGGCCATGGCACATTAAGTTAAATTATAAAAATTAATAAGAATTTTCATGTCATTTGGAAGATTCATAATATTTTTATGGGTAGTATTTTTTATTATCTTATTATTAGAACAATTTAATATGAACATAACTATAAAAATTGGATAAGTTCTATTTTAGTTAAAATATTAAAATTTTTATTGTAGAACAATAAGTATAAGAAATATTTATGTACAATGTGCAAATTTCGATATTTGATTATGAATACAAAATTTTCCATGTCAAAATCATAATTACATTATTAAGTATAGTGTAATAAAAATATAATAATAAAAATCAAATTTGAAATTTTATGACTAAGAATTTACAAGCACCCCTTCATTTGATTTTATTCGAAACTCGTGAATCGCTTTTTCAAATATGATCTTCGATTTAATACAAATTACAATTAATTGAAATTCAGTAAAATTTATTGAGTATTTTCAAAGATTAATAAAATAAATATTCATAATTATTTTTTATTATTGTATGTGAAAAATGGACACGAAATTCAATCTCATTAATGAGACAGTATAAAAACTATCAAAATAAATTCGAAAAATTATTGATAGAATAATCACAAAAAGTTGATTAAGTATCTACATATAAAAATTCGGACTATGCAATCATTTATTTTTATATTACAATTTAATATTTTTTTTTTATTTCTTCCAATATAACAAACTAATTAATCTTAAATGTTCGGAAAAATGTTATTAAATGTATTTTCTACTAGATGAACTTCTATTCACAAATTCATCATTAATTTCTTTCTGTAAGTTGAATAAGATTTAGAAATTTTTCACCACTTCAAAGCAAAATTTTCTTTCTCTTTCTAATATTTTTGGAATTTTGTGTCTATTTAAAAATTAAATTACAATTTTGTAAAAAAATAATCATTTAAATAAAAGCAATTATTAGATTATTAAATTGATTTTGTTATACTAATTACTTTATAAGCGAAAATGAGTATAACAGTTTAATAATTTAATTTAATGTGTATATGTAACAAGTAAATTCATGAGAATGCACAATCATTTAAATGCAATAATATATTAATAAAATAAATTAAAATTTAATTGTTTGCTCTTTTATTATAAAAAATTACAAGTATGTATAACGCTTTTTATATATACATATATATATGCACTTTTGTATATCATATACTTTAATTTTTTTACAGAAAAAAAAAAAATTGGTTTATTAATATATTCTACATTATGCTTCTTTTCACATAATATGTATATAATTTAAAGTATATTTTATATGTGTGTAATATATATATACATATAACATTTTATTGTTTTTTAAAAAGCATATTTTTTATGTAAATTCATGTATTATTATATTGTATTTTTAATAATGTACAAATAACAAATCATTGTATAGTATGCATTAAAAACAATTCTTTTATATGCATATATATAATGTCAATGGATATAAATAAATATGCATATAACAGAATTATATGTACTAAATAATACTGACATACCTGTAAAGTATATTTAGTACATTATTAGAAATTATATATAGTAACAATTGTACTAAAAATCTCAAAAAAAAAATGAATGAAGATCGATTTAATAGACATAAAGTGTTATATGCATAATTGTGTTATATATACATGTATTATATATATAATTGTGCTATATATACGAAATAAAATAAATATTTTATATATTATATATTGTATCTATATATGATACATATAAATACTGTTATATACATGGTATATATTATAATGTAATATATGTATATAATGAAGATAGATTGCAGTAATAATTTTATTGTTATATAGAAATTTCTAATTATTTTAAATGTCCCTTTTAAAATTTTTAAATCTTCATCCCATATAGGTAATTTTCTCATTTCATCAATTCATATAACAAAAAAATATAATTTTATATAATACAATATAGAAAAATCATTTAAATTATAATATAAATTAAATATAACAAATAAAAAATTGAAATATTTAAAACCATCCATTTGGGTGAATTCAAATTGAACGTGTATAACACATTTAAAAATTTTATAGTTTGCAGAAATATTAATTAATATAAATTATAATATATGTATATATATCGTATATACCTACACATTTGTATGTATATGTACACACTTTACATTATAAATACATAATGTATATATATGTATATATGTACATATATGCATTTAGATATGCACATATAACACAAATTTTTAATGCTCAAATATTTTTTTTTTTCTTATTTTAAACTTTTAAAAAGTTTAAATTTTTTCTTCTATTTTAGCTTTTTAATTTTCAAATAAATTTTTTTTATTAATTCGAATTTATTTTATTTTTTTTTCTAATTTCTAATTTTATTTATAAATATTTTTTTATTATCACCTTCACTTTTTTTTTGTGTGTGGTTTTTTTGTGCTTTTGTCGTTCTTCAATTAATAAAATTTTTATTTAATTTTTTAATATACACAATTTAATTTTAAATTTTATAATTAATATACTATTAAAATTCTAATAATAAGTAGGCATTGTCTGCCTCTCTGCCTTAATAAGAAAATACATCCGCCTTTTATAATTGCATTGCATTCCGTTTCAGAGTAAAAGAGAAAAAAAAAGAAAAAAACAAAACAAAAATAAGGCAATCAGTACACTTTATGTATGTAGGCAAGAATGAATAAAAAAAAATAAAAACAAGACAAAAATAAAATTCTAAGAACAAAAAAATTAGCGCGCCGCACTGAGGACCTTTTATTGGAAATTTTAAATTTTCTTGTTAATTTTAAAGTTTACGTTTATCTTTTGGTTTTTTTTTTCTTTTAAGTTTACCCAAAAAAAAAAATTTTTTTTTTAAAATACCAAAAATATATTATAGAGACACACACACATACACAGTTTTTTTTTTCAAAATAAAATTATTTTATATTAATTTTTTTTTTCTATTTATTTTAATTTTTTTTCTTTTGGTATTTTTTTCGAAATTTTCATTTGTGTACCACGTAATCCGCCGTTTCCATCAAGGTCCTGCATGCAACTGAGAATAATAATATAATCAACAAAAAATTATAGAAAAAAAAGCATAAAAATAAAAAGAAAAAAACAAAATCATTTACAATACACCAGAATAAAAAAAAAGAAAAAATGAAAAGAACAGACAAGAAAAAAAGATATTCAGTCAGTTTAGTACCTAAAATGTGTGCATTATGTGTGTTTATTTGTATATACATGTATGAATGATGTATGAATATATTTTTTATACATATTATATGTATTTACATACAAGTATATACATAAATTGTTTAATGTAAAAAATACAGTTCATATTCGAAAAAAATTATTATTTAAAAAATTTTTAGAAAATTTCTTGGTATATTTAGATGGTAGAATTCGGGACACAACTGAACTTACTACTGATGGTAGAAAATTAAAAAAACAAAATTGGAAAGGTTTCTGTAACTCTGTAAATCGAAATATACCCTCTAACGGAGAACTTATTATAATTTAATATTTATTTTGTACATAACAATATTGAAGGCAATCCAATTACAATATTTTGGTGCAATAACTGTACTACTTTTCAAAAACTCTTATACGCTCGTCACAATATAATGTCAAAACGGAAAAAATTAATAGAAATTCAATTTTATAATAAATATAAATTAAATAAAGCATAAGCTGAATTGCTAAAATTGACTTTTTCCCATATTGAGAAAGCATCTACGTAAGCTGAATGAGACGCACCTCAGCCATTTATGCAAATAGGCATATTAAAAGCTATTATGACATTTCATGTATAAAAGTTTGCATTATATTTGATAAAGAAAAGAGAAAACATTTTAATTATGAATAATAAAATATTAATTTTTTTTAGATAATTTGAGAAATATTACAGTATAACAGAAAATAAAGCAAAACTTTACTCATAAGCTTCAATACTTTTGATTCGAATCATTAAATTTCATACAATTTTGTTATACTTACATTATAAAAGTTCGACTGTATATAATATCAAAATATTTAATTGTATATATGTATATATGTAATGTACGTATATTTTGTTGAATTTGTTATACAATATAATGGTTATTTACAATATATAATAAAAATATTACAATATAAAAGCCAACTGAAACAGCAGTGTGAACTTTTTTATGTTCATTTTTCAAAAAAAAATTTTTTTTTAATTCTAAAAAAGCTCTAAGAGTTTTTTTTTTTGTATTATGCTTTTCATATTTAATTTTTTTTCTTTTCTTTTTTTTTTGTTTCTCTCTATACAGAATCATCGACAATATTTCATTCTTCATCAAATCTATTTGGTCCTTTTATTCTGTTGATTTTTTTGCTTTGGTCATCTTATACACATAAATTTCTAATATATTATGTACATATATATGTATGTAACATTTACTCCTCTTTAAAGGGCTATATATGCTTAAAAATATCCTTTTAGCGTATTTTGATTTTCATTTTGTAAACAGAAATTTTTCTCCAATTCATTAAGTAAAAAAACTATATTTAATATATATAGGCGATCATAGAGGTAATTAAGCATTCAATTATAGCATATATGTAGGTAGTTAGAGTATAAAAATTGGAGAAGTGCGCAATATTTTAACAATACATACATATATACATGTACATTTTCATAATACATTGACAGAACAGAACAAAAGAAAAACAAAAAATGTGCATTTTGTTGCAATATGAATGAAAATTTTGTAGATCCACTGCAAAAAAGAACGTTGAATCTTATTTTATAAACCAAAATATAATTAAAAATTCGAACGAAATATTTTAGAATTAAGATTACCGTTAGTAATACAGTTATAATTATTATTACCGTTAACGTAAATTTCAAAAAATTTTATATTTTAAATGAACGATTTATGAATATCGCACTTAAGATAAACTAAAATAAATCGAATATGGTTTGCAACCTAAAAAAATGTAAATGTGGTTCATAAAGGAATTTTATTTTCTATATGATACAATTCCCCCGAAAAGTTTGTCACTTAATTCCTTTAACAAATGTAAATTTTAAATTTCATAGTAGTAGGTCATTAAGTATAACAGACCAATTAATTGACAGACTGTCATCTCTCTAAAACTAATTCTACTTACGTTTCTCTAACATGGAATCAAAATCTGAAATTTGGTGCCATCACAACATTCATTATTGTATACAATGCGATCGCTAACAATTTAAGTATGTATTATGTCATATAGAATGAAGTCAAAATAGTTTGGGGCCAAACGCCGTAATATATGCAATTTTTTTGTTTTGTGGGATTATGTTATTTTTATTATTAAATAAAAATAACATAATCCCACACATATATAGACTTACATCCAATTTTAAAAATAATTTCGGAACTGTATGGAAAAATAGCATAATTTGGTTATGTATTTTAAAAATTCAAACAACCTACATTAAATGAGCATTAATTTTCACTTGTTATTCTCAACTTAAATCAGTGGCTACAACAAAACAATTTTAGTGCTGCTCTCTTTCTTAAGAATGTTTATTTTTTAACTTTTTTTTTTTTTATTTTATAAATAATTTTTATTTTTATAAAATTTTCTTTCACTGTATTTTAGAATTCGTTGCGGCACGACCTTGATTTTGGCATATGTAAAAAATTTTGATAGAATTGCAATAGCCAAGACTTCTTCATTCTTTATAAAAATAAACTTTTCACATAAGTATGTGTGTGTGTTGTATTTTTAAGGATGCTTTAACTTCTAATTTATTTATCATTTCAATCTTCAACAAAAATTTTTTCTCTTGTAACATAAAAATTTGCTTTCGGAAAAGCTTTCAATACATTTAAAAGTTTGTTGGTTTGTTTCTGTTTTATTTTATAATATTAGGCCCCCTGCAATAAAGTTATTTTTGTTTACATACCTTATAATACTAAAATTGTTAATAATTATAAATATATTTGTATAAATATGTATTTATATATGTAAATTTATTTATTTTACAAAAACACATGTGGGATGGAATGTAATATTGTTAACATTGTTTTATGTTACTGTTATAACAACTACTTTTATTTATAGAAATGTGGTATTTGAATTGACAAAAAGAATTACTTGACATTTTATGTCAAAATTAAAATAACATTTAAGAAAACAACAATATTATTTATAAATGACATTAAGGAAATTTATAACATTCAGTTAAGCTCAAAGTGATTAACAGTAGCTTTCCGATATTGATTTTATTGAATTCAATAAAATTAACAAGTTGTTTCTCCACCTTGCCAAATATTAATATATGTATATTATCAAGCAATATCTTAATACAAACACTTAGTATATATTAATATGAACGTCTCATTAAGAATAAATAAAATAAAATCAATGGTATCGTAGAGTAGGGCCTTCAAAACTCTCTCTTGTACTAGTACAAAAAAATGACAAATACAAGTTAATTTCATGCAACATACACGTGATTAATTTGATTACGTATTTTCGTACTATTACGCGGAGCGTTGTAAAGCTCCACCGACCTTAAGTTACTGAGATATTCCCTGCAAGAAATTCGACTCAATAAAATTGCGACAACCACATTACCCGCAACAAGTTGATGAATGAAAACTATATCATAAAGCACCATACGTCAATGAAGTCAGCTTAAATCTAAAAGTTAAAGCCTACTTTCATAAAGAGGCTATCTAAACGGATCCGACTAAATCCATACCATGAGAAGCAAAACAACGAAGAAAGGTGGACCTTAAAATCTATTGACCTTAAATATTACCTGAGATTAAAAATTACCTACATAACTCAGCGAATATATACAAAATTATTGTCCCAAAATAATTGCTTATTTTATTGCAATTTTGAGGTCAAGAATTTTTTTTACTTTCAGTCCATCCTATAATCCAAAAATAACACAAACAGCTGGTATCTAAATAAAAAAAAAAAAAAAACAAAAAAAATAATAAAAATTCTTAAATACTATAAATAATTATTTTATGCATAAAGAAAATTAAAGGGGAAATTTTAGTCTGGTACCTGATTAAAAGGGCTTTTACTAAAAAATAATGCGAAAATAATCATATATAAAATAAAGCTTCTTATATATACATGCATAAACATATGTATATGTGTGTATAAAATAAATGATTGCAGACAAATACGATAAGAATAGTAAAAACATTAAAAAAAATTACCTGCAAAACTTTCAATTATGTAAATATTATGCAGAACTTTCAATAAATTCATTCACAAAAAAGACACGTGCTAAATATTAAAATTGAACAGAAAGCTTTTATTCTTCGCAAAATAAAAAGAAAAAAGAAAGCTTTAAAAACTGCAAAAAAAAATTACATTCTATAGAATAACTCTATTGAATAAGAAGCTTTAGTAAGCTTCAAGTAAATTATAATATACCTAGAAAAGTTTAAATTTGTTTCTTAGTACAGCTCCGCTTTCTGTGATTCGTTTTATCTGAAAAGTTCGTCACTTAATATGTATTGTTATACTTGGATATGACAAAAAATGCAAAATCAATTGGTGATGAAAGTTCGGTTTCGTTCTCAAAAAATTTACTAATTCTAGCCCAGAGTTAGAATCCAGAGTTGCTATACATATATCAACGAAATTTAATATATATATCGGCTGAATTTAAAGTTAAATTTAAAGCTGTAGGAGGCCATGTACTTACATCTGACAATCCGTGATTAGTTAAGACATAAATTTATATTAAAATTAGTTCAGTCTATGATTTTAGATACAGAGATAATATGCATTTCCGTTGAAAACTTGACATTTGAAGAACCTATTGCAGTTGGTAATTAAAAAGCACCAAATTTCATTTTTTAAAAAAAAAAATTTTTTAAAACAGTTAACAAAGAATTTCCATTATTAATACGTATATTGTTGTCATATTTTTTAAAAATCACTTTTTTTTTTCTTCGTGGAGCGGCCAAAGTACCAATTTTCTGAAATTGTGAATCTAAAACATTTTTACGGTATTAAAATTTTGAATTTGGTGAAAATCTTAGATAAATG